GACACGCCGCCTGGCGTATCCTCTATTGCGCCCCTAGCAGCATCCTATGGCGCGTCCGTGTGCCTGTGCCCCGTGTCGTGTCGTTCGCTTCCGGAGCTGAGGCGGATTTTGAGGCCGAGTTGATTGAGCGTCCCGCACGTTTCCACTTCAACTAGCTCTGGGGCAGCTACTATGTACTAAGGCAGCTCGAGCTTCAGATCCAAATCGGTCCCGCCAGGGTTCGGATGCAAAAGGAGAGATTCCATCCACAACGCTATAGAGCACAATCGCGGCATGGCACATCGCAACTCAGCACGGCACAGCACAGCAGAGCCTTTGGCACGGTACATCAAGATCGATATACGCAACGTTGCCAGTGCCCGTCGCCTACTCAGGTGTCCTCGACATGTTGCCACGCCTTGCATGTATTCTTTCTGGGTTCGTGGCTCGATGACGTTTCCACCCTGGCGCGAAAGGGCCCACGTGTTGTCACGTTTGTTCCGCTGCTGGGCGAAAGGGGCCCACGTGTTTCACGTTTGTTCCGCTTTGGCGCGAAACAGACCCATGTGCGCCCACGCTTGTCCCGCTCTGGCGCGAAAGGGGCCCACGTGTCTTCACGTTTCTTCCGCTCTGGCGCGGAAGTGACCTGCGTGTGGTCACGCTTCTTCCGCTCCGGGTCGAAAGGGGCACGTGTTTTCACGTGTCTTGGCCACCACGGGGGGGATATCCAACATGTGGTCGTTTGGCCCTGAAGAGACGGGGGGTCACAAGAACGAAAACGAAAGAACGAATCGGCTCCAGATGTGCAATAACTTGACGCGGTCCGTCCTGGGGCCTTGGGGAGGCTTGCAGCGGCCTCCTGGGGAGGCCTCCTGCAGCGAAGGGGACCCACGTGTCTTCACGATTGTTCCGCTCTGGCGCGAAAGGGACCCACGCGTTTCCATGACTGTTCTGGTCTAGCGCGGCAGGGACCCACGTGTGTCCACGCTTGTCTCGTTTTGGCGCGAAACGGAGACGTGTTTTCAAGTTTGTTCCGCTCTGGGGCAAACAGACCCTCGTGGTGTAAGGGGGGGATATCTAATTCTGTGGTCGCCTGGCCCCCTAGAGTGGGGGGAGTCACAAGAGCCAGAGAAAGTTATCGAACCGACGCCAGATGTCTAATTTGTTGTTCCGTCCTGGGGCCCCGGGGAGGCCTGCCGCGGCCTCCTGGGGAGGCCTTCTTCGGCGAAAGGGACCCACGTGTTGTCACGTTTGTTCCGCTCTGGCGCGAAAGGGGCCCCTGTGTTTCCGCGTTTGTTCCGCTCCGGGTCGAAGGGGGCCCGCGTGTTTTCACGATTGCTCTGCTCTGGCGCGCAAGGGACCCACGCGTCGGGGCCCGCGTGTTTTCACGCCTGCTCCTCTCTGGGTCGAAACGGGCCCGCATGATCTCGCGCATGTTCCGCTCTCGGGCTTCAAGTTTCCAGATCACCCAGAGGAGGATACATACATATATATATATATATATATACATATATATATATATATATGTATATTTACGTATTTATATATATATATATATATATATATATATAAGTTGTGGTCGCCAGGCCCCGAAGAGTGGGGGAGGTCACAAGAGCCAGAGCAAATGATCGAACTGACACCAGATGTGTAACCATTTGGTCCGTCCTGGGGACATGGGGAAGCCTGCTGCGCCCTCGCGGGGAGGCCTCCCGCGGCGGAATGGACCACTGATTTTCACGCTTGTTTCGCTCTGAGACGAAAGGGGCCCACGTGTTTTCTCGCTTGTTCCGCTCTGGGTCGAAAGGGACCTACGTGTTTTCACGCGTCTTCCTCTTGGGGACGAAAGGATACCATGTGTTTGCACATGTGTCCCGCTCCGGCGCGAACGGGACCCACGTGTTTTTACGCGTGCTCCGCCCTCGGTCGAAGGAGACCCTCGTGTTTTCGCGTTTGTTCCGCTCTGGCGCGAAACGGACCCACGTGTTTTCAAGTTTGTCCTGCTCTGGCGCGAAAGGGACCCATGTGATTTCAAGTTAGTTACGCTCTGGGGCGAACGGGTCCTTCGTGTTTTCACAAAGTCCCACGAAGGCGCCCATGAGGCGGCACGGGCCGCAGCATCGCGAAACATTTCGATTACCAGCCCACTACTTCAATGAAGGTGAGGAACAGCTCAAGTGCGAGCAGCGTTTTGGGGAACAGCTGGTGTACCTTCCAGGAACCTCACGGCGTCGTCTTCGTCAGGCTCTCGGGAGGCTCTCGGGAGTTTCTTTGTATCTTTTGGGGGGCCTTTCGGCAGAATCTTCCGAAACGTGTCTCGGACGTTTTTCTGGAGCCTTTGGGAAGCGCTTCGGGAGCCTTTCGAAATTTCTCCAGAATCCTGAGGTTTCCTGGCGATCCTCTGCTGCGCGGCCGCGACCAAAAAAGTATCCTCACCAGCCCTTTCAGAAACCTTGCCCATGAGAGTTGACGGGAAAAGGGACGAAGAGACACATGTAGTGAAGCAGAGCAGGCACCCAGGATGAGCAGATAGATCTTTGGGAGCAAGGGGGTGGCATTGGATGGCTTCCTCGAGCCATCCGAGGGGCCGCGGGGGGCGAGGGGACGAGGGGGTCGTGGGATGATCTTGAGGCGACACAGGCGTTTGAAGCGACACAGGCGTTTGAAGGATTCGGGCCTCTTGCGGGGTCCTGATGGGGGGCTCTTGAGACCGTCTTGGAGCGGTAGCTGGGGTATCTTGTCGCAGGTCGGAAGCCATATTGAGCCACTTTCGGTTATCTTGAGCCCTCTTAGAGGCCATCTTGGAGCAGCGGAGGCCCTATTGGAGCATCAGAGGCCCTCTTGGCGCTTAAGCCTCTCCGTCCCCCCCCCCCCGTCCAAATCCCACGGAGGGGAGGGGAGACTACCCCTTCCCGAAGGGAAGATGGTTCTGGAAGGGCTGGCGGGATGTAGGGATATCTTGCAAACCCGTCGGTCTCTCAGGAAATTTGAGGAACCCTGACGAATCTCCAGGTTTCTTCGGGGGATCGCCAGGAACCCTTGAGGATTTCACGAGCCTTCAACATCAATATGTGCACATGCATCTATACACTTTGTATTCTTTCATATATATATACATATGCATATATACATGTATGTGGGTTTGCATGCGTGTAGTTGTCAATGTAGTTGTGTACGTATGTATGTAGGCAGGTTGGAGGTCGACCATCATGCCTGTATGTATGTAATGACATATGGGTGTATGTACGTGTATGTATGCATGCATGCATGGGTGTATGTATGTATACATGCATGCATGCATGTATGTATGTATGTGTGTATGAATGTATGTATGCATGTATGCATGTATGCATGCATGCATGTATGTATATATGTATGTATGTTTGTATGTATGTATGTATGTATGCATGTATATATGTATGTATGTATGTATGCATGTATGTATGTATGTATGTATGTATGTATGTATGTCGTAGGTATGGGTGTATGTCTGCATGAATGTACGGTTGCATGCAGACATGCATGCATGTACGTGTTACTGCATGTGCGTGTGTAGGCATGCGTGTATGTACATGTATGTGTGTATGTGTGTATGTGTGTACGAGTACGTGTATGTGTATGTGGTTGCGTTCGTTGATGTGTATGTACATATGTGTGCAAACAAGCATGTATGTATGCATGTATGCATATATGAATGGATGCATAGTTTGATGCATGTGTGTATGCTGGCATGCATGTATATATGCATATACGTGTATGTGTACTCGTGGGGTGAATAGGCGTGTAATTATGGATGTATATATATATGTGTACGCATGCGTGTATGTGCGTACGAAACTGTATATGTGTATGCATGCATGTCTGCATGTATGTTCAATATGCATGTATGTGTGTGTACGAATATACAAATGAAAGTATGTATGTATGTATGTATGTCTGAACGTGTGTATGTATGCGTGTATGCATACATACATGTACATTTAGGCAGACAGCGATATCGATTCCAAGGTTTTGCCACGACGCGAGTACGTTTGGGTCCCTCACCGCTCCTCCCTCGCCCAAGCATGCACAGCTCGCCTTTTCAGATTGCGCGTAGCACGATGGGTCCTTTTGGGTGTTCCAGGTCCGGATCGAGTAAAATCAGCACATTCAGAACGCCTTGGATGGAGGGGTCGGATGTCAGATGTTTCGCGAGCGCACCGAGCGTGTCCTCCCCCTCTCCTTCTCGTCCCTCTCCATCGCCCTCCTCCCCACCCTCCTCCTTCACCTTCTCCTCCCACCTCCCCTCCCCCCTCCCCCCCATTCCCTCCTCCTAGCCCTCCTCCCCATCCCCTCCTCTTCCTCCTCCTCTTCCTCCTCCTCCTCTTCCTCCTCCTCCTCCTCCTCCTCCCCATTCCCTCCTCCCTCCTCCCGTCCCCTCCCCCGCGCCCTCCCCCTTCTCCTCTGGCACCTCTTCGGGGCCTCGAGCTATATGAGCAGCTCGTGGAGCCTCCGCGGCCCACCCCCCCTTCCCATCCCCCTACTTTGGCATCGCTCGGCCGTGCGCACTTGTTCTCAGCGAGGACCATCGAGAGGCCTTTGGTAGGGGGAAAACAAACCTACCTCGCTTTTGACCACCCTCGCTTCCAAGAGATACCAAACGATGCCAAATTGCAGCCTGTACTGGTCAGGCCGCTTGAAGAGGAGGCGCATGGTATGGCTTGGTTTTGCCTGGAAGCGAAAGCGGGGTAGGTAATTCACGCTCTGGTTTGGGCCATCCTGCGTGGAAAACGACATGTTCAGTACCGGCGGCTGGGCAGAGGGTGACTGCGCTGGCGATAGAGGCATGAACGGTGGTTTTGTTGGAGCGAACTGTGCTACCATGCGGGAGGAGGAGGGAGAAGGGACGCAGCCGAAGGAAAACAAGGACGGGGCGGACGGCTCAGGGGTCAGTACGCTCCCCGAGCGAGGAAAAATGCACGCACGACGCCGAAGCAAGAAGCGCGCGGGGAATGGACGTCCGAGCGCGGGCGAGCTGCCGCCAGGGCCCCCGTCCGCTGCGGCCGCCTCTGGCGCGGCGCTCCGGCCGCGGCCCGCCCCCGGCACAGCGCCCTGGGCCGGGCCCGCCCCGGGCCCGGCGCCGGCGGGGTGGCGGCCGGATGCGGCTTGCCAGGAGAGGAGGGGAAGGAGGAGGAGGAGGAGGAGGAGGAGGAGGAGGAGGAGGAGGACAAGCTAGGTGCGCTAGCGTCACATCTGACGTCCTACCCCTCCCTCCCATCCCTTACCATGGGGTAGACCTCCTGTTTTTTTTTTATATATATATATATATATATATATATATATATATAACGGGGGTCAGCCAGGGCACCGGATCCTGCAGGATCCTGCGAAGACCCCCTTTGGCTGACCCGGGTCAGCGAGCCGCTCGTGGCCGCGGGGCGGCCGCGCCTATTGGCTGACCCGGGTCTGCGAAGACCTGCGTTGCAGTTTTTTATTCCTGCATTGCAGTTATGTGGCTTCCTGCTGACCCGGGTCTGGATTGACCCGGGTCAGAAGATCCCCGAGAGGCGGGGGAGGAGGAGGAGGAGGAGGAGGAGGAGGAGGAGGAGGAGGAGGAGGAGGAGGAGGAGGAGGAGGAGGAGGAAAAGGGGGAGGAGGAGGAGGAGGAGGAGGAGGAGCAGGAGGGGGAGGAGGACAAGCTAGGTGCGCTAGCGTGCGTCACATTTGACGTCCTACCCCTCCCTCCCATCCCTTACCATGGGGTAGATCTCCGATTTATACATATATATATATATGTATAATTTTCGCACAGTCGGATGTGGAGCAGGGCACTGATCCCAAGAGGGTGTGCGATAGATGGAAAAGCATGGTATATCAGAGCACGGCAGATACTAGCATGTCATAGCATGACGTGGCATTGCGTAGTGAAGCATTGCATCACAAAGCAGAGTAACGCAACACATGGCATCGGACAGCGGTGCACAACACAGCATCGCATTGCATGCCGTGGCGTGTGACCGACGGGGGCCAGGACCAATGGAAGTGAGACCAGCGCTGTGGCGTGAGCACGACTTAGAAGGACTGGAGCGCGGGAGCGAGGCCAGGACCGGAAACGGATATCAGGCCACCGCTGCAGCGGGAGCACGGTTTGGAAGGACCGAAGTTTTGGAACAAGGCCATCGTTACAGCGACAGCGCTAGTTGGAGGGCCGAACACGCCAGTGCTGCTGCGGGAACACGAGTTGGGACAACAGGAGGCGCGGGACCGAAGCCAGCGTTGCATCGGGAGCACGATTTTGAATGACCGAAGCGCGGAAATGAGGGCGGCGCTGCAGGGGGAATACCATTTCGGAAGAACAGGAAAAGACAGGATTGAAACAACACACTGGACAAAACCACGCAAGGGCATCCTGCGTGTTAAAGAAGAGCACGCGGAGATGAGGGGGCACTCTCCAGACAGAGTCAGGGGAGAGAGGAGGGTAGTGTTCATATTGTGTAGTTGAGGAGGAGGAGGAGGAGGAGGAGGAGGAGGAGGAGGAGGAGGAGGAGGAGGAGGAGGAGGAGGAGGAGGAGGAGAAGGCTTCGTCCACACGCACGTTTGGGGAGGGGAAGGTACCCATAGTACCCTCGTTCTCCCCTTTTCGGGGGCCTCCCCGGGAGGCCCTCGCCGCCGCCGCGGGATTCGCCACGAGACGGGTCGGAAGGCACCGCGGGAGAGGTCTTGGGAGCAGCTGTATCGGCACACCTGGCACTGATTAGCTGGTCGGCCCGGCCAAATCAAGGGCACCCTTGTGTCCTGTGTCTCGCGACCCATGCTTCCTACCGTCCTGTGGCAGTGTGGCCCTCGGAAGGGTCTCGTGTCCTCCCGCGTGTGAGGTCCAGTCAAGACCGGCTGTGCCTTCTGGCTTTCCCCAGACGTGCTCGCGTCGTGGAGGCATCCGAACGGGAGGTATCTTGTTGGCCGCTTGCTGCCACTCGAGGGGCCTTCGCAAGGGCCCCGGGGCGGCCGGAAAACGCCTGGGGAGGAAGAGCCGGTGTCTCAGTATCGTTTAACCGATCCCCATCCCCATGCTCATCCCCTTCGAGACCCCCAGCAAATTACACTCGAAACCCGAAGGATACGGCCGACATCCCCATCTAGGGAGGTACATCGGCCAGTGGGGCCCAGCCCACGCTGGTGGGAATGGGGATCGGTTAAACGATATTCAGTGTCCCGGGGAGAAGGGTTCGATCTTCTGGGGGGCCGCGTCCCGCAAACATCAGGACCGCGCATGTCTGGGTCCTCTCTTCGCCCTCCCCAGACATCCAACTGTCTCGAAAACGGATGATCGGCGGCGGAATCCGAGCCCTACCTTCGCCGATCCGCGATTCGGGCAACTCGATGGGCGGCGGGGGTAGGGATCGGCGTTCGTCGAGCACATGGCGAAATCCGAAGCCTGCACCAGCCTCTCATCGATTCAGGAGAATCGATGGTTGGGGCGGGTAGGGTCCGTACGCCACCACTTCTCCAACGTCTTGCAAAACATCAATCGTGGGTGAAACAAACATGTTCGCATCCGCAGCCACGCGGGCTGGGCCCTTGGGCCGCGACCCTGCGGATATTCCTCCCCTTCATCCTCCTCCTCCTCCTCCTCCTCCTCCTCCTTCTCCTCTTCCTGCTTTTCCTCCTCTTCCTCCACCTCCTCCTCCTCCACCTCCTCCTCCTCGTCCTCCCCTGCCTCCTTCTGCTGCTGCTGCTGCTCCTCCTCCTCCTCCCCCTCCTCCTCCACCTCCTTCTGATTCCTGATTCCTGATTCCTGATGGCCTCCGGGTTTGCTGAACGCGCCCCCCCCCCGGGCTGGTCGGCCTTGGTGTGTTGATCGAACTAGACAGCCTGGTAGCAGTGGCCACGGGCTGTGGAGAGAATACTACGTAAACGCAAGGCGACAGACAGAGTGGAGGGAGGAGGAGGGAGGAGAGAGCATGATTACATCGAAGGAGGGGGGGAGGGGCGGTAGACAGCGTGGGGGCACGAGGCGGTGCGGCGCGAGGTGCGGCAGCAGAAAAGGTGGGGGCTCAGGGGCCCAGGTTTGGCCCCCTCTCCCCTTTTGCGGGTCAATTGGCCTTGCTGGGCCGACGCCCAGGGTCCCCCTCCGTAGAGGCGCCCTTGTTTGTCTAAGGCGAGGGCGAGGGGGGCTGATGGGAGGCAGTCGGGTCACCGTGGGCGGCGTTGGCTGACGGGAGGTAGCGTGAGGAAAAGTAAGAGGTGGCTGGCTGGCACAGTGTGCCGGAGTGGGCGGTGGCCGCCCAGCACGCACACGGTCATGGGGGAAGGCGCAAGGGCCTTTTTCCATCTGCTCGTAGGACCACCCCGCACGCGTCCCCGCGGCAAGCGGCGGGGCTCCTCGCCTGCAAGCAGGCGTGTGGCTCCCAGCACGTGCGCCTCGGGGCCGCATGGGGGGGGGGGTCCACCGAGCGTGGTGGAGGTCTGCGCCTTCCTGCCGGTGGCGCGGTGCCACGCTCGCCCAAGTGGCCGGGCACTCGCGCCAAGCTGGAAGGCATGAGCGCCCCTCCCCCTCCACATAGGAAATCCCCCGAAGCGTCCCCCATCCCCGCGAGTGGCTCCCCCCCCTGCAGACCAGGAGCAGGGCACCCAGATCGCGGAGGTGTGGGCCGCCTGGAGGATTTCCAACGTGCATGGGAGAGGTTTATGCTTTTCGTGGTTGTGGCGCGATGAAGGTTGCCGATGCCCCTCCCGACCTAAAAAATAACCCACTTGCCCCCCCCTCTCCCCACGTTGTTGCAGGCAGGCGACTCCTTGGAGTGCGCGTGCGGCTGCAGCGTCTGTTCAATTTGGCTGGGGGGTGCGAGCCGAGGCGGCTTTGCACTTGCCAAGTCGGGCGCAGCGTGGGAAACGGCGCAAATGTGGCAGGATGTGCGACGACGCGGAGCAGCTGCACAGTGTGGGGTCGCGGTGATCGAGGGGTGCGAAAGGCGAAACAATTGGGTGTGTTCAGAAAAAGGCGGAACGCGGAAGGCAGAAGGCGGAAGGTGGAAAGCGGAAGCGGAAGAATTGGTGCGAAAGGCGGAGGGCGATGATTGCGATGCAGCCGCGGCCGCCATGGCCCGTGCAGGACAGTCAGCGTTGAGTCCGCACCCGCTCCCTGCCCAGTTATAGCCACCCCCGTCCCACCGGCACGCGAGGACGTGTGGTGGGAGTGTAGCGTGAAAAGCAAGGGGACGGAGCGTGCGAGAAGGTGAGCCAGGAAGGAGTGAAGGTTAGAGGTTGTTGGAGCTCTCACGCGTTCTAGCTCCTGTGGGCGAGAAAACCCCGTAGGGACCCAGTGTCGTTCGCGTGGGTGAGAAAGGCCCGCAGGGACCTGCGTGACACGTCGGATGAGCGAACTTGTGTGGGTGAGAAAGCCCCTCGGGGACCCACGTTGATCGTAGCAGGTGTCGGTGTGCTCGCCGCGTGCTGCTGCGTAGGAGGGCGTATGCGTCGTGCTGCCGTCCGTGGAGAGGTATGTGGAGATTGCGAAGGCCTTACGGCCGGTGCCGCCGACCCTGAATGGCGACGACGACGACGACGACGACGAGCGCTCTTGGGGGCGTCTTGAGGGTAGTTTGTGGGCCTCTTGGGAAGCTCTTAGGGGCCGCTTGGAAGCCTCGTGGGGGCCTCTTGGGGCTTCCTGGGGGTCTCTTGGAGGGGGCCTGGGACGTCTTGGAGGCTTCTTGGACGGTCTTGGGGCTATCTTGGGCGTTTTCGGCCGATCTTTGGTCGACTCGAGGCCCTCTTGGGCCGTCTCGGGGGCCATCTTGGGCATTCGGACGTCATTTGGAGTGTTTTCAAGGTTTCTAGGCCGCCCGAGGAAAAACGAATCTGCCCCCCCCCCCCCCCCCCGGGGACCCGAAATGGTACGAATTACAACCGACTAGGACCAATTCCAACCGTTCGGAGCGAAGTGCAACCAGAAAAGAGACCAATTCCAACCACAAATGAGACCAATTCCAACTCAACCAAAAATGAGACCAATTCCAACCACGGATGGGATCTTCGGAATTCCTCCGGATATTACTACTACGACTACGGCTACTACTCTTACTATGAATAATATCACGAATTCTATTACGACTACTACGACGACTACTACTACTACTACTACTACTACTACTACTACTAGTGCTACGACTAGTA